AGATCTGTGTGAAGATGGGGGCCAGCTGGTCAGCACAGGATTTCAGACAGGCTGGTGTAACACAGTCTGGGCCTGGTGCTTTTTTCCTTTCCGTTCAACCACCTGAAAAAAGTGACGCTTCAAAACCTAATAGATAAAATAAAGTCCTTCCCGGCATGTTTTTCTTGTGAAATGTCCATATTCACTCAAAAATATGTGGTATTATGCAAGTAAAATGGGCTTTGAATGCTGTTTTTAGGTTCTGACTAGAAGCTCAGACCACATAATAGAGTCGAGTTACAAAGCAATGAGTCTTTATCCGCCGTATTGAGACACAATTATGTGAAAATCATTAACTAAACCCTTAACATACCACACACATCACGTCTCTAACCCCACCCTGGTCTGAGATAGCGCAGGTTCAGTCCACACGGGACGCTTACACACCAAACCGAGTAGACGGCTGGAGATACTACAGATTGTACATTAACTCCTGCCGTGACGCAACCTGTTTATTCTTCTGACCAATCCTTGCTAGTTGTTGTAAAACTGCCTGTCTGTTTCTTTGGCACGGCATCAAAGACCAAAAATTGGACCGTTTGAGAACTTTCCAAGTGGACACAGATCATTTCAGGACATAGTGGGGGGGCCGAGGACACAGATCTGCTTGATAATGCAGCTCTGTGTGCAGTTATCTGCCGATTATTGGCCCTGACGGCTGGGCTGTTGAACTCAGTGACCCTTCTGCCTTCACTTCGCTGACCTTCCTGGTGTTGGCACAAGCTAAACCCTCTCAAAGAGCCATTCAGCGCAGCTGGAAGCATGCATACGCGCTTATATGTCTCGCAAACAGAGATGTGAAACTAGTTTGAGGTGGAGCTCTGTGAACGTTGTATTTCGCATGCAGTCGGCAGGAATGTGGAAGCTGTAATGGGTGTAATTGTGAGGACTGTATGTGCACGTTTGAGGTGGGGGGAATGAGGGGAAGCAACTGTGTGAGATCGGGCTGACAGTGTGTGTATGGTGTTTAAAAAGACAATGAGGAAAATGGAGAAAAACTTTCTTGCGAAGTATGAATGTCTAATGAAATTCAGAACAGCATCTAAATTCTCGCGTGTGTGTGTGTTTCTGTATGCAGCTGCATTCTGTCATACTACTTTATGCAATGTATAGTATGCATACTATGCAGAGTATGCAAATTGCTTCCATGTAACAGAGCAAACTACCTAGAGTACCTCAAAAGCGCTCTCTGAATTCACTTGCTAGCTTGTAAACAACTTTGTTTCCAGCCGTACTAATAATTAACATTAATGCTCATTTTTAATGTTTTTGAAAGAAGTCTTTTATGCTCACCTAGGCTGCATTTAATTTATCAAAAATACAGTAAAATTGGGTTTTCTATTTGAATATATTTTAAAAAATCATTTATTTCTGTGATGCAAAGCTGGATTTTCAGCATCATTACTCCAGTCTTCAGTGTCACATGATCCTTCAGAAATCATTCTGATATGCTGATTTGATGCCCGAGAAACATTTATGATTATCAATGTTGAAAACAGCTGTGCTGTTCATATTTTTGTGGAAATTGATACATTGTCCCAGGATTCTTTGATAAACAGAAAGTTCAAATGAACAACATTATTTTGAAATAGAAATGTTTTGTGAGATTATAAATGTCTTTACTGTGACTTTAGATCAATTTTGTGTCCTTGCTGAATAAAAGTATCAGTGTTCTCAAACTTTTGAAAATATGTACATAATGTGTAGTTTCACATACCATTTTTTTTAAATAGTAATAAAAATATTACATTACATCAGACAACTGGTTAAAAACAGCCGATGTTCAGAGATTATTATGTCTATAAAAAACTATTCCAAAGCAGTGTAATCAATTATAAGTGATCTAAAAGTTATTAGAAAAAAAGCAGAACCACCAAACTTAAAAAATTGGCAGATATTGTTCTAAATAAACTGATATCAAATTTTCCCTCAGTTCATCCCTAACGTTTATTATTTTTAATGCTCATATCTGATATAAAAACAGGATTATAGATGAAAAATGTAAAGTAAATGAACATTTCAAATGTTGCTTGGAAACGAACTGGAATAAGGTTAATTTGAAGAAAAAATTGACTAAAATTTCTGGAAAAGGGAAATAAATAAAAACTGAAATAAAAAATCAAATCTAAATTGTAATATTAAAAAATAATAAAAATGAGAAAAACACAGCTAAAATGACTAAAAATTAAACTATAATTAAAGTGAAATTCTAAAAAGAATAATAATACTAAAATACACTGAAACATACATTTAAAAATTTGTCTGTGTCAGCAAAGAGATGCTCCTACAACTGTCACCAAAATCCACAACACACCTCTCCATTTGAATGACAAGCATCAAATTATGGGACAGTTCTGGTCCATCTAAGGGAGCTACTTTTGGATTCATCTTTCCAGCATGAAAATCATGGTGGTGTTATGAATGCTCACTGCTCTTATGCAACAACTTTCCTGTGTGAAAGTTTCAGTGTCCTCACCTAAATGCTCTCTGTGTCTGTCTGTGAAGGTTGCAGTCTCCGGACCGCATGCTGTCATGCTGTCCTTAGACAAGCCACTGGACCTGAAGGTGCCGAGGAGGCGGGTCAGTGGGCGGGACAGAGGCGCCAGGTCTCCGCCCACTCTCACTCCCTCTCCCATTCACGGCAAGGGGGCGGGGCAGCTGCGGATGGCAGACGACGGGACCGCCGTCATCGTTCCAGCGTCTCCTGCTTCTCCACACACAGGTAAACAAATCAGTACAGTAAGACATATAGAGCACTTTAATCGCAGAGAATAAAACAGAGGTGTGTATGTCAGCAGGTGTCCTGCAGGACAAGTCGGAGACCCCCACCCCACCCGCCGTGGACCTCAGCATGTTCCCGTCCTCCCGAAACACAGCCTGCTCTCCGGATCTCTCCAATGGAAACGGCTCAGCTCCCATTTTCCCTGGGGTGAGTCCATTTTTTCAGTTTTATGATATGTTACGGTGACATTTTGGGTTGCACCCTGCAGGCCATTTGTTTACACTGCAAAAATGACTTGAAAAGACGTTTTTGACTTGCTTATTTAGTTAAGATATGTAAAATTCAAGATCAAAATTATCTTAAAAATTGAGAAGTAACACTGCATTGGATAATAAGACTTTTCACCAAATGTACCTTTAATACAAGTGTATTTTCTGTTAGTTTTCACATTGTAGATACACTACTATTCAAAAGATTAATGTCTGTAAGATTTTTTAAAAAGAAATGTATTCAGCAAAGACACATTAAATGGTTTAAAAGTGACAGTAAAGACATTTATAATGTTACAAAAGATTTCTATTTCTAATAAATGCTGTTCTTTCTATTCATCAAAGGTTTCCACAAAAATATTAAGCAGCAAAAGTGTTTTCAACATTGCTAATAATCAGAAATGTTTCTTGAGCAGCAAATCAGCAAATTAGAATGATTTCTGAAGGATCGTGTGACACTGAAGACTGCTGAAAGTTCATCTTTGCATCACAGGAATAAATTACACTTTAAAACATATTCAAATAGAAAACAGTTATTTTGAATTGTAATAATATTTCCCAATATTACTGTTTTTACTGTAATTTTGTTCAAATAAACAGCCTTTGTGAGTTAAAAACAGGTAAAAAGGTGAAAGTTAGCTGAAAATACATAAAATCTTATGCAATCTTACTTCTCAAGTAAATGTATCTTGTTTAAGGATTTGTAGATTTTTTAACTGAAATACAAGACATTTTTTATTCAGTGTGCCTTTAGAAGCACTATCATTAGCTTTACACTAGGTCTACTACTTCATAAATGAGATATCTTGCTCATTAAGGTAACTAATAAGCTAATAAGCAACCAAAAACTTGGTTCAGTTTGGGTCATAAGCATGAGTGCATTAAACGCACAGGACCGTCCCCCACCTTCCCTCAAGATGAGACATTCAGATCTGTTACCCTCAGTGACCCAAAACTGGTGTTTCTTATCAAATGCCCCGTGACCCTTCACAAAAGTGTCTCTCTTTTGCTGTCTGTGGGGCTGACGGATGGGACGCGAGGTTAAATCAGATTTACAGCGAGGTACAGCCACACAGAGCTCTTTCTGCTTAATTGAATTCGCTCGAAATTGAATTGGGAGCGAGATGCATGGCTTTTTGTGTGCCTATGTGTGTCTCCGATGCCTGCCATGCCTCCTTCAAGCCAATGGATGAACAGTGGCCAGGTCTTAGATGAGGACACTGCTGAGCCTCATTTTCCATGATTTTCCATGCACATATCTCACATAGCTGAAAACGTTCCCAGACAGCCCTGACACTCTTGTCCAGTCAAAACCATCATTGTTTCTGCTCTAATTAACCCTTCCTAAGCATCACTATTACCAGGGGCGGACTTAACCAATAAGCGAGGTAAGCGGCCGCTTAGGGCCCCGGGGAATCAGGGGGCCCCATCTGATATTGGCGAAACATATTTGGCAAACGCTCCAGTATGTATTTGTGTTATGGAGAGCCTCAAATGTTCACTCACCGCTCAAAATGCAGAGTTTTTATCAGGTGCTGAGTTCTGCAAGCTTGCTAATCCTCTCATTACAACAACGTGCAGATACAATGTAAATAAGATATTCATTGTGCCGTGCAGACAGCTTCATTGATTAACGGAACGTCGTGAGATCGCAATGAACTGAAGTGAATAACAGCTTTAAGTGATTATAGTGTAGTGCTCTTTGCACACTTTCTAGGCTATATAATACTGTCTGACTGGCTCAGAACAGAGATATTCTCCTCAGAGAAGGAAGAATCGTGTTTCGTGTCATGATTTTATTTGTCTCGATGTTTCAAAATGACTCGCTTTTGTGCTTTTCCTAGGCGCGCCGGCGCAAACTGCCACGCACTCGTATAAAATGCACGAATGCGATGACTGGAGATTTTCGCTTAATAATAGATTACATTTTCGATTTGTTTCTCGGCAAACTCTACCGTATGCCTAAAGAACACTTGGAATACGAAACTAGCTGCATGGGATACTTTTTATGACATTTGAATCCTTTTTGTAAAAAGTTTAAAGAAGTTTATAATTCATTAAATGGACAAGTGCAAGCAGTTTTTTTTTTATAATGTCTTCATTTGTGATCCGAAAAAAATTAGGTAGCCTAATATGGCTTTAGAACAGCATCAGGTTGACTAATTTACTTAAGTTGTGAAGGGGTAAATAAACTAACCTATAAAGTATTTAGATGAAATATAAATGACTATAAAATATATAAATGAAAATAAAATAAAATGACTAAAACTAAGAAAAACTAAAAAGTATTTTTTAAAAATCTAAAACGAATTCAAATGTCAAAAGTACAACAAAATTACTCAAATTTAAATAAAAAATAAAAGAAATGCTGAAATGATAAAAATAAAAGCCGATTAAAAATAGTAATAAATACCATAGCAGTTAATACTAATATAATTGCGTTTGTGTGTATATATATAAATGTTATAATAAATATTACATATTCATATATTAAAATGTAAATATTTAAAATATATATTTAAATTAAATAAACTAATAAATATTTTAAAAACTATTTTGAGTTTAATATTTTTGAGAAAAACGACCACTAGAGATGAGGGGAAAATATTTTGTATTGTATAAGTGTTTTAAATTAATATAATAAATTTCAATAAATGTATTAATTTAACATAATAATAATTATCAATGAATATGTTAAATATTATAAAATATATTAAAACATTAAGAAGTTAATACATATTTTAAATGACATTTTTTCAAGTCTACGAGAGAGAGAGAGAGAGAGAGAGAGAGAGAGAGAGAGGGAGCGAGCAAAATAAGGGTTAGGCGTAAAAGAGCATATAGTTATTGTTGGGGCCCCATACATGAAATTTGCTTAGGGCCCCCAAATCACTAAGTCCGCCCCTGACTATTACTATTGCTCATATTTAGGGGCAGAAAAATGAACAAACCCCTAAACACTAAGTATTAAAATTTGCTGCATAACTCGTACATGATGATGGACATGATGATGTAGCTTACTGAGGTGATTGCTTCTCTATGATCAGACACTTTGGTTTAGCGGATGATAAATATAATTGCGTTTGTGTGTATATATATAAATGTTATAATAAATATTACATATTCATATATTAAAATGTAAATATTTAAAATATATATTTAAATTAAATAAACTAATAAATATTTTAAAAACTATTTTGAGTTTAATATTTTTGAGAAAAACGACCACTAGAGATGAGGGGAAAATATTTTGTATTGTATAAGTGTTTTAAATTAATATAATAAATTTCAATAAATGTATTAATTTAACATAATAATAATTATCAATGAATATGTTAAATATTATAAAATATATTAAAACATTAAGAAGTTAATACATATTTTAAATGACATTTTTTCAAGTTAAGAGACTTAACACCATTCAGAGCAAGTAGGGCAAAATATTGTGTCGTTAGACCAACACATATTCAATTATTTCTATTTACTCGAAATCTAAACTCAGAAAGAGTTAAGAATATAACTGCACAAAGAACTGAAGTCCAAAGCAGATGAACAAGAAACAAGTCCGTATAACACAGAAATAGAGTATTACTTGCGATATTATCGAAACATGACTCACATATCAACATAATATCATATCACCAGGTTCCTACTGATTTCCCAACCACTCACATTTCCTTTCCAAGGCAGATTTTCACAACTCTATTTTATAGTTTACTATCTAGTCCTGCTATCTAGAAACTCATCTTATAGCTCATAAGAGGGCACTTGTGCAAAATCAAGCTCCATGTATAAGATTCTTTGTTCGTATTCTGTTACATTTATTGGTGCCTTGCCATTCTGCTTTGTCTCATTAAAGTCTCAAATCTGTGGTTGAGTGTAAAGTGTGGCAGGGCATTAGCTCAGATCAGCACAGCTGGGGGCAGAAACACGGGGAAGACGAGCCGCCATATCGAGCAAAACGCTCATAAGAGTCTTCCGCTGTGAGGGCGATTACAGAACACGGACCTCCTGTAGCTCCTGTTACTGATTTTAACAACTATTACTAGAATCGCTGGCCTGCTGTAAAAACGATAAAGAGGCTTGAATTATGTTTGCCTTTTCTCATTTTGTTCCCGCAGGACTCAGCTCATATCCGTTACATGGAAGGAGGAGCCACATCTCAAGCGTTCCAGTTCTTCGTGCCCATTGGAGGAGGTGGAGGGCTTCACCTCCCTTCATCGATGTTCATTCGGCAGCCCAAGGACACAAGAGCTTCTCCAGACCTCTCTGCAGATGAACAGCTGGCCTGTCGCTGGAGGAAGGTGAGAAATAGAAGCAGTGAGAAATAGGTGCTAATGTGCATTTTTCACCTGAGCTCATTGTGCTTGTTTTCTTGTCACAGTGCCACCTACTTTTTGACTCCTTGCAAGACCTGGTGGATCACGTCAATGACTTCCATGTAAAGCCTGAGAAGAATTCTGGGTACTGTTGCCACTGGGAGGGATGTGCACGCAAAGGAAGGGGATTCAACGCCAGGTGTGTTTACTGCATTCTCTAAATCAGGTTGTCTTTGAATCATTTAGCACCAGCAGGGGCCAGTTGCATAAACTTAGCCTCTATGTTAAGACTTAGTCTTAAGAACTAGATCAATTAGCAGTTAGCCATTGAGTCTAATTTTTTGGATTCATATTAGACCAATCTACGTTTTTATGTAACAAACAGAAAAAGAGTTATGACTCGTCTTAAAGAAAGCTACATTTAACAGCTGGACAGGAGAGAATTCAATTAATCTTGACTCGTTGAGAGAAATTAAGCTATGGTGTGTTCAGAAAAACGTTAACAATTTGGCTAATAGATTATCTAAAATATTTCACCATATTCTGAAGTGTCCACATAATTGTGCATGTTAAAGGGATAGTTCACCCAAAAATGAAAATTACCCCATGATTTACTTACCCTCAAGCCATCCTATGGATATTTTCCTTACACAAACGCATTGATTCACTTCAGAAGGCCTTTATTAACCCCCCAGAGCTATGTAGAGTACCGTATTGGCCCGAATATAAGACGACCCTGATTATAAGACGACCTCCCTTTTTCCAGATGTACCTTTTGGAAAAAGGCTTTTTAAAAACCAAATCTTGTTTTTTTCTCAGTAAAACACATGTTGTCTTCAATTATTTTCATATTGCATATTTTTCCTATTTTAATTTTTGTTTTGAAAGTATGGTAAAAACTGGTAAAATGTACCAACAATCACATTTAAAAAATATACACTTTTTGATATACCATTAAAAAAAAAAAACAGGTAGCCCATCTGAATTAGGACATTTAGGCTATCCATCTAATAGTAGCCTACCAAAATCGTATTAACAGTAGAAGTTAAATCTTACTGTAGTCTTCAAATCTGGGTACTGTCTTACGTTTTAAAATCACAAAGGGAGTTTGGTCCCATCAGGCTAACGTGACAGTCACGACTCATGCAGCTTTACTCGCGATCTTTACAACACGCGTTACATTACGTATTTCATGGCACACTCGTTTTATGCGTATTTGGCACCACCTATTGTTGTGGGTGTATTATTGACATGTCAAAGTCTAGACCCTGAATATAAGACGACCGTGTTTTTTCAGATGTATTTCCAAGAAAAAAACATCGTCTTATATTCGGGTCAATACGGTACTTTTTATGATGGATGGATGCACTTTATTGGACTATTGAATTTCAACACCCACTCACTGCTATTATAAATCTTGGAAGAGCCAGGACACTTTTTAATATAACTCAGATTTTATTTGTCTGAAGGAAGAAAGTCATATACACCTAGGATGGCTTGATGGTAAGTAAATCATGGGGTAATTTTCATTTTTGGGTGAACTATCCCTTTAATTTTAGAGGTATATTGTATTGCTGAATATCGACATGTTGAAGACACTAATGGACTTGTTTAGTATAACAAGTCTTTTTCTCTTTTAAAATACTTACCCACCATATAACCCATTTCTAGGTTCATTTCCTTGGAAAGGAACATTTTGCAATTGCAGCCACTAGTAGAACCTTTAAGTTTTACATAAGACGTACCTTAAGACTTCTGTCTGCATCATTAGGTACAAGATGCTGATACATATCCGTACTCACACCAATGAGAAACCTCACCGCTGTCCCACCTGCAACAAGAGCTTCTCCCGACTGGAGAACCTCAAGATTCACAACCGCTCACACACAGGTCAGTACCAAGTTAAATGTATGGATAGATAGATGAAGATCGCATCACCTGGCTGACTTAGTGCTTGTATTTCAGGAGAGAAGCCCTACATCTGTCCATACGAGGGCTGCAACAAGCGCTACTCCAATTCCAGTGACCGGTTCAAACACACGCGCACACACTATGTGGACAAGCCCTACTACTGCAAGATGGTGGGCTGCTTGAAACGCTACACAGACCCCAGCTCCCTAAGGAAGCATATCAAGGCTCATGGGCACTTTGTAGCCCAGGAGCAGGGAGGTCCGGGTGGGGTGGGCTCAATGATGAAGCCGGGGCAGATCGCAGGGGCAGGGAAAGAATCTGAGCTGACTTACGTCAGTGGGGCCCACATCATCATTCCTGGTGCTGCCGCTGCTTTCCTGGGCAGTCACGGTCTGCAAGGTCTCGGAGGCTCCCTCCCCTTGTCCCCCCTCAGTCCCTGCCCCTTGGACTTGAGCACACTGGGCTGCCCAAGCTCCCCTCCAGCTGGGCTTGGGGGGACATCCATCCTGTCCTTCAGCGGTTCCCCGCTTGGTCTGACCAAGTCACACTTTCTGTCTCCTACCTTCTCATCTTCCACGTTGGGGTTGCCCATGGTGCCCATTTTGGGCTCGGAGCGCAGGGACCATGGCAAGGGCAAGGCCAGAGGCGAGGAGGGTGAGGACGAGATCCATGGCGGTGTGCTCAACCTGTCTACGGGGGCGTCCCACGACCCCCTGTCTTGGGTTGTCATCCCTTCTGGCCCAGTGGTGCTGAAGCCAGCTGTGGTCAACTGAGCACCACATTCCAGAGGAATGGCAGGGGAAGGGTGGGGGTGGAACAGGGGTCAGAGGTCAGAGGCAAGCATGTGGGGGGTTTTCACAAAGCAAATGCAGTTATGCTTGGAGGTGACACAATCTTCTTCAACTTTTAGCGCTACTTGAGTTCTAATTTGTACCTTATGGTCGGACACAGCTACCTGTTTCTTGTGATAACAGAGATGGTATCTTGAAGAAAATTTAGCGTAACGATTCAGAAAGTGGCCAAACATTCACCTCCGTTCCTTTCTCTTTCTCTCTGGCTTATCTTTTTACCAGGGTTGTCCAATCCTGCTCCTGGAGGGCCACCTTCCTGGAGAGTTTAACTTCAGTCTACACCAACACACCTGCTTGGAAGTTTTGAGTAATCCTGAAGAGCTTGATTAGCTGTGTTTAATTAGGGTTGGGACTAAACCAGTGGTGGGCAACTCTGGCCCTCAAGGTCCACTGTCCTGCAGAGTTTAGTTACAACCTTTACCAAACACAAACTAAACCCTACACTAGGCAGATGAGTTTGTTAGAGCTAAACTTTGCAGGGCAGTGGACCTTGAGGGCCAGGGTTGCCCACCCCTAGTCTAAACTCTGCAGGAAGGTGGCCCCCCAGAAGCAGGATTGGACCCCAAGTCGTATCCGCTTTGTTTGTTTTTTTGTTTTATGAGAGCACTGATCTAAAGGCAGACTTAAGAATCTGTGCCCTTGCTTCAAGAGAAAATTGTATTTATGTTTAAGATAAACTTTTGGACGACAGTGTACGCAACACACTAAAGACACAAACTTGTGCTATTATTCTTCAGGAACTGAACTTCAAGCCATTCCATGCGTTATGAAAAGACCTCTGAGCGTAGATAGCCAGAGATTTTTGAGGCTAAATCGCATGGGCCTGGTCAGGTTTGCAAAGGGGTGCTGAGGTCGTAGGTCAGGCGAGAGCAGCTCATTTACTGGCCTAGTAATGTCCAATTCTGGCCCTGGAATGCCACTTTCCTGCAGAGTTTAGTTTCTACACACCTGGCTGTAAGTTTGCAATGATCCTGAAGACCTTGAGTAGCTGGTGCAGGTGTGTTTACATAGAGCTAGAGCTAAACTCTCCCGGACGGTGGCCCTTTAGGAGCAGGAATGGACAACCCTGCTTCAAACTGTCCCGAGTTCCACCTCAGAGGGTACCCTTTGCATCCCTTGCAAGTGAACTTCTTTAGCTCAATGCTATTACAAGCTATATGACGAACCTTGCATTTGCTGCTAGCTGTGTCACTGCAATATTAGCATACATCTTTGAATAAAAATAGACAAAGTATGAACGACAATCTGTCCTCTGAGGAGGAGGAAATAGAAACCTTGACTAGCTCTATTTTGTTGAATAAGAGATTTACAGACACAAGGCTCAGACTGACTGAGTTTTAAGTCATACAAGGGCACAAACTCTCCAAGCGGTAATGCTAATGCCCCATAGGACATGGCACTGATGTAAATAGTGCCATCTTCTGGTCATTACTTGTACTGCACACTACTAGTTGAACCAAGGGCCAGATTTAACAGTATTGCCCTGCTTTGCAGTATACTAGCTTGGCAGGGTAAAACAAATAACTTTTGGTTGATGCAGAATAGTGGAATGTTTAAAATAAACATTATCCACAACCCAGTGAACATGCTGACACGTGCAATGGTATATTGCAACAATTGAGGGTCTAGTTTGGTTTCTCAGTTTGCCCCATATTAAATCACTGTGCTAAAAATCTAATTATATACCCAGAGATTAAAGTAGAGACTTAATAATAAAGTGTAGAAAGCACTATTCAGGTGGCCAAAAGATAGCATTTTTATTTAAGACCCTTTCACATGACCCACATCAATGTTCTCCAACGCATCAAACTCTATAGCGAGGCATCAAGTTTCAGCATCACTCCTGACGTCACCTTACACAAATGGAGCTGTAGGCGACGCTCCAGGTACTAAAAATTTCACATTGGACCCCATTTGCCTCTGATTTTCCCTAGCTGCATGATGCATCATTTTGATACATCATACAAACTGAAAATCAAAACTCAAAAGACAGATTCTGTGCTAGATTTTAGGCACATTAAGTTGTACAACACAACCTTTAAGGCAGATATTCATATTCTACCTGTTATGGTGCTATCTGCAAAGTCCTGAAGTGGGTCATGTGAGTGAGATTTTACACAGTCATCAATGTGTCGCAATCAAGACCTCATTCAGATTAAAATAACGCTCTTGATTAAGTCTTCTCTCCTGAACTCAGGCACGTAACAGTCTCTGTCCGCTCAGGAGAAGTACTTCTGTAAGAGAGATTACATATTTAGAGCTTCTTTCCGTAATGTCCATTACTCGTAGATTGGGATAAAAAAAAAAAATGAGGGAAACGAACTAATGTAATTTAAAATCATTCCGACTGAAATAATCGCACTTCCTTAAAGCATGTACCCTGCCCTCCCCTCCAAACCATTTTTACACTCAAGAGTCTTATTCCATAATTATTTTTGTTTTATTGTTTGTAGAGAACTATACAATTATTGCCATTTTGTTTTACTGACTTTGTTTTGGACGTGACATTTCCTGATGTTGAAGTTGCTTTGTTTCTGCTATTGCTTCTCTGTGTTCAGCTTTCTCCAGCTAGTGAATCGCGAGGAAAGAGAGAGAAGTGACAGGAGGAGGTGACGGATAAGTTTGCGGGAAGTGTTTGAGTAAGAAACCCTCACATTTAGCCCATAATCATACCACGATGTTTGAAGTTTACATACTGTATAATGTATATGTAATGTATAATGTCCAATTACTGAGTGAAAGAGAAGAGAAAAGCAGAGCATTTTTTAGACAGCAAATCGCTGGTGCTTCCTCCATTTGCTCTAGCATCACTGCTAGAAAAAATATGTTGCCACTGTCCAGATCTTGATCGTGCGCCAGGTTTCAAAAGTAGGCCACTGACCCTTACACGGCCCCTGAGATAAGCGATAACATGCAAATGCATGCAGTAATCAAACACAATCCTCTCAGGTTTGGAAAGATATGACATCAGCGTGTATTTAGGAGGCTTTACTGGAAATGACGTTTATAAACCCTTGCATCTTTCCAAGAAGTTGGAAATCTCTTCTCCTACTCCCTTTCCTCATCTTGTTGGCTGGAGAAAGCTGAAACTGACACAGACCTGTCAAGGTCTACATCAATGTTGAATATCAGATAATATTCGAGTTCACACTGCACGATATTAGCCCGATTTTTCACTCGCCGCAACTGAATGCTACCCCAGATAGTCACGCAGTGTGAAAACAACGGCGATCTGACGAGTTTGAAAATCGTGCAGTGTGAACTCGGCATTAGCTGTTTGAACCTTTAACCCTTTGAGCACTCTGAAAACGGCCGCACTGTTTCACACACACACAATACCTAGGTGAGTAAAACACAGCCTAATTTTCATTTTTGGATGAACTAACCCTTTAAGCAATAAAATGAAAGGCAGGGAAGATGTCATAGCTAGATATTTAAATTAGATATTCATGCCAGTAAAACTCCAATGATATCAGAAACTATATACGGTACATAAATTAAGCACTATTTTAGAATAAATAAAAAAAAATGCTCACACTAAAAGAAAAGATCTTTGTATGTTCCTAAAAAGAACTAATAATAGGACACATTCTTGAAGTGCCACAGAGATGCACAAAGGGTTAACAAAAAGACTATGGCCTGGAAAGGCCAGTATCCATTTTTATTTTTTCCTTTTTTGCACATTTTTTAGATATTTTAATATCAGTATTTTAATTTTTCTCCAAGTGCCTTTTATTATAGTTGAAATGTAGATGTAATACAGTATATGAAAATAAATATATATATAAATAAATATATATTTTTTCCCAGCATCATGTTCTGAAGCCGAACATGCAGAATTTTAGAGCTGTAAAAGTCTCCAGTTGGTACAACATAAGTGTGTGCTCCTGTTTTAGAGGATTTTTATTACGATATTGATAAGGATGTCAATGAAAATAAAAGAAACAAATGTTTAATACATTTGCATTTGATATATTGCGCTTCACCGAGTCTTTTTTTCTGAATGTTTGGGATATTCATGCACAGAGGGCTGAAATATTTATTAACTCCGATCAGGGTCTTAGCCTCGGATGAGATGTTTAACTATTTTTCTTGGCCCTTCCATCGGTTTGCTTTTGCTCAGTGCATCTGACCGATCCCAGTTTGCATAACTGAAATATACATAACAGCGATTCTAATGTAAAAACACAGTGTTTGTGAGGATCCCAAAACACATTTCAATAATCAGTGTTTATGACATCATCCTCATTAACATTTGATATTTAATCCTGAGGAAAAACACTGAAAATGCAGATTTTATTAATCATAAATTTCTTATATACTGTATAATTTGAACACATATGGTCAATATTCAGTCATTTTCTTTGTTAATTTCAGAGCGATTAGCTGGTTTGAATCACAGAAGTCTGAAGCTGTCATTGATTCATGTATTTATATATATATTTTTTTTAAATGTACAGACTGCATTCATATACACACAATGGGGTTGGGCAAAAATTAGAAGAAAAAGAAAACTTAAAATACAATAACAAATGTAGCTATGCATATTATTATATTAATATTTAAATATATTAATTTTAATTCCATTACTCAAATGGCAACACATGTTCTATATTGCTTCTCACTTACAGTATTTATGGTACGACTCTTACAGCAGTCCAGCTTAAATGATGGCCAAATGCATCAAGATTTTTTAAGGAATGTTCTGGATTCAGAAAAACTTCATCTGCTGCACACTGTTGATTACCACAGACAAGCATCATCCTTCAGATTGGACTATTTACAGTTACACAGCTGAAGTCTATGGGGCATAATATTATACTGGGATAAACCTTAAAATACTGTTTCTAGAGTTCAGCCACATGACGTAATCATCATGATAGGTGTGATAGAATCACTTATTAACCTTGTCTGGACAATCTTTCATCTCCGTTCATAGTTGGGAAAAGATGGACGCCAGATACAAGGACATTTTACTGGAGAAAAATCCACTTAGTAAATGATTTCAGTGACATACAATGAATTCATTCACCCAGAACTGCTTTTAAATCCAAAGTTTTGCCAAGACTTTAATTGTTGCAACACTGCAAACAGTTTGCTAGTTTTAATACCTTGTTTGTTTAGTTTGTTGGTACCTTATATTAAATCCAGATCATTCCTTTCTGCATGAACAGATGGATGGATACATAAAACTCTGCGTATGAATATATAAATACAGACACACACACACACACACACAACTTTTCAAAAGTTTGAGGTCAGCAAAAAGTTTTTTAAAGAAATTAATAATTTTATTCAGCAAGAATGCATTACACTGATCAAAACTGATAGTAAATACAAAATAATAGTGATAGAAAATACAAAAGTTTTCTATTTAAAATAAATGCTGTTCTTTTGAATTTTCTGTTTCTTGAGCAGCAAATCAGCATATTAGAGTGATTTCTGAAGGATATTGTGACACTGAAGACTGGAGTAATGATGCTGAAAATTCAGCTAGCTTTGCATCACAGAAATAAATTACATTTTACAATATATTTAAATAGAAAACAGTTCATTTAAACTGCAATAAAATGTCACAATATTACTGTTTTTACTGAATTTTTCATCAAATAAATGCAGCCTTGGGGAGCAGAAGAGATAAAAACATGAACAAATCTGACACCAAACTTTTGAATGGTCGTGTACATTTTTAACTCTTTTAAGTTCAACAATTCTAGAACTCGAGAACATTGATATGAATTACCTTGCAATGTAATGTCCAGAAAATACTCCTGCACTCTGACGGATGAATAAAAAAATGATTGACATTTTTAATGTACAAAAAGATCAAGTTTTATTGGAAGTCTGGGTCATAATTACAGTGGAGGTGTGTGAGGATGGAGCTCACGTCTCCTGCTGCTGGTCTGGAGGTTTGGTTTGGTGCTGCTGTTGAATGGAGAGTTCTTCATCCAGACGCTCTTTAGCCCGTACCACCTACAACAGTCCACCACAAACACATATACATTATTATTATTATTATTTCTCTGATGTTGAGAACCACTGATCTAATAGCTAAAGATTTGGGATCAAAACCCAGGAGTGACCCTGAACCAAGAGTTTCCAGCTTTATGACTATTATGTTAACAAAAAACCTAAAAAAAAAAACATATCTCTGGAAGCAACAAAAACGACCATTCTGATTGTCTGCTTGACTGCTTACCTTTGACTGTATATAGAAAGAACCGCCAGCAGTTTTGTCATTGACTTTAAATAAATGCTCATAATTCTGAGGAGAAAATGAAAGTATACAGAATTAAAACACATTTTGTTAGAGAGAGAGAGAATAATGTAATGTTGATCTGATGTATGTTACAGACTGTTACAACAGACTCTCACCTTCTGAATCTCCTCTGGTGTTAATGTGGAGATGTTCAGTATCTGTTGGGCTTCTTGTAAAGTCATTCCTGTGAAACTAGACGCAGCCGCAGACTGTCTGCCCGCTCGACCCCGAGCCTCAGCAGCCGCCTGACTGGCTGCATTCACATTCACACAACACACTACAGTCATATTTCACATACAGAGTATTCCTCATACTGGTGACCATTAACATCTGTCATGTTAAGACATTTGAGTTTTAAGACAGTGCAATGCTGTCATATTCTCCTAAGACTCCCAAAATGAGAAAAATAGAAGATTTACAATAATTACAATTACATTATTATTAGATTTGGTGGTTATTTTATGGAGATGTTAAAGGGGTCATATGATGCGATTTCAAGTTTTCCTTTCTCTTTGGAGTGTTACAAGCTCTTGGTGCATAAAGAAGATTTGTAAAGTTGCAAAGACTAAAGTCTCAAATCCAAAGCGCGTTTCAGAAAGGCGGGGCATAGAGGAGAAACAATAATGTACAGTATGTGGAAAATAATGTGGTTTTTTTAACCTTAAACCACATAAACACATTTCATTACACTAAATACACAAAATAATGTTCTTTTTAGCAACATCATATGACCTCTTTAAATAAAAAAATACATGTATAAACGTATTTATTTAATTTATGTATTAAGCAGATATTAACAACAAGAACGAACACCAGTTGAATGAATATTAGGTAACACTTTACTTGAAGGGGTGTGCATAAGACTGACATGGCACCTTCATAATCTATATCGAATATGAAGGAGGTTTTATGCATGTTTATGACAACTGT